TTTTGTCTTTGCTTTTATTGATGTGGTGTGTCATATTTATTGATTTGCATATTTTGAATCAACCTTGCACCCCTGGGATGAATCCCACTTGATCATGGTGTATAATTTTGTGTATGTGCTGCTGTATTCTGTTAGCTAGTATTTTATTGAGGATTTCTGTATCTATATTCAACAAGGATATTGGCCTGTAATCTTCTATTTTTGATGTATCTTTGTCTGGTTTTGGTAGCAGAGTGATATTTGCCTCATAGAATGAGCTTGGGAGAATGGCCTCTGCTTCAATCTTTTGGAATAGTTTGCAGAGAATTTATATCAATTCCTCATTGAAGGTTTGGTAGAACTCTGCACTGAACCCATCCGGTCTTGGGCTTTTCTTTGTTGGGAGCCTTCTGATAACAGCTTCAACCTTTTATTGTTATTCATCTGTTCAGATTTTCTATATCTTCCTGGCTCAGTTTTGGTAGCTTGTATGTATCCAGAAATTTATCCATTTCCTCCAGATTTTCAAATTTGTTGGCATATAGTTGTTTATAGTAGTCTCTACTGATTCCTTGTTATTTCTGAGTTATTAATTGTAATATCACCTTTTTCATTTCTAATTTTTGTTATTTGGGTCTTCTACAGTACTATCATTTTTCAATTTTTAAATTAAACTTTGTTATTGAAACCTGTCCTAACTGAAACACAGCTATCACTCAATCACTGAAATTGCTGTATAGTATCCTGGTATAAAAATACAACAGGATTTATTTTTCCACTCTACTGCTAACAACATGTGTTTGTGATTTGTTAAAGTTTCTATGAATTAGTTTCTACTATAAATGTATCCATTTCCCTATCTTTATGACAAAATCATATATATATTCTTCTCTGTACTATTTTTATAGTTGGATGCTGGAGAATCACATTGTTCACTCATTAGTCAACCTATTAACAATGACTGCAAGGAATAATCTTAAACATTTAAACTTTTTCCCCCTATATTTGTTATTTTCCAAGTACAGGTTACTAAATGTGAGGTTACTTGGTCAACAGATATTAAACATTTTAAGTCTATTGAAAGACACTAATCAATTTATTTCTAAAAGGATTACGCTAATTTACATTTCTACTATGCTGCATTTTAGCTGCTTATTTCCTTCATTAACATTCATCACAATTTAACATTAATTTCTTTATTTATTTGGCATCTGCTTCCCTTACCTGAACCTAAAGCTTTATTTAGACAGGGACCTTCTGTCTGTTCACCATCCTGTCCCCAATGTTTGGCTACTCAACAAATATGTATTAAATGAATAAACAAATTTGTACAATAATATTTCTTTCACTATCAGTATGTGCTATTATAATTTTCCACATTTAAATTGGCACTGTAGTCCAAGAACCCGAATGAATTACTTGAACTACACATTTCACTGTTTTACTCTGAATTTTTTAAATTACTTTTAAGTAAAGTTATAATAAATTTGTTATATCCATCAATGTGTGTTTCCCCTCTTCTAGCTTCTGTTTTAAGTCCTTGTCCTCTGCACTTTTTAACTACAGGGGTTCTCAACATTTTCTTATTAATTTTTATGAGCTTTTCCACATTGCAGAACCATTAACCCTGCCATTCATCTATCATGAATTTAATTATTAAAATGATAATTGTCAAATCTTTTCTGTTCTTCTTATCTATCTGAAGATTCTTAGGAAGTCATTATAGTATTTTATTTATTTAACATTTAAGATGTTTTAAATGTTGGGCCGGCCCGGTGGCGCACTGCTACAGTGCGCCGCTTGGGAGTGTGGTGGCGCTCCCGCCAAGGGTTCGGATCCCACATAAAGACCGGTTCCCGCTCACTGGCTGAGCGAGGTGTGGGAGCAACACTGAGGGTTGCGATCCCGTTGCCGGTCCCAGTCCGGTACGGGCGCGACACTGAGGATTGCGATCCGTTGCCGGACATGAAAAAAGACAAAAAGGAAAAAAAAAAAAAGATGTTTTAAATGTTGACAATTTTAAGATAATCAACTCAGTGTCCTTAAAAAAACACTGAATCGGGCCAGCCCAGTGGCGCACTCGGTAGAGTGCGGCGCCTGCCCAGGGTTCGGATCCCATATAGAGACCGGTCCGCTCACCGGCTGAGCGCGGTGCGGGCGCAACACCGAGGGTTGCAATCCCGTTGCCGGTTGCGGTACAGGCGTGACACTGAGGGTTGTGATCCCGTTACCGGTCGCGAAAAAAGACAAAAAAGGGAAAAAACAAAACAAACAAAAAAAAAACACTGAATCAAATTACCTCAATATGTAAAAACATACTTATGTATGTCAGTCACTTAAAGAATTTCCTACCTCTCCTATTTCCATGAGTGGTTCATTCATATCTACGCCACCATAGCCATACTGAAGGTCAGCTTCTGTCAATTTATTCTTTTTAATAAACTGGGTGTTGAGATACCTGAAAAATAAATGTAATGTCATTGGATATTAAGTGAAAATCAGTAGAAAAGCAAATAACTTGCAACTTCAAAACAATAATTTTAGAGTTATTACTATAAAATAGTTCAGTAATACATCCAAAAGAAATTATGCAGAAATTAGAAATATAATAAAAAAGATAAAAATTACCAGCCCAACCCTCTATGCAAGGTCCTAGGAAACAAAGAATAAGACCTCTGGAGTAGCAAAGAAAAAAAAGAAAAAGAAAAAAACCCATAGCATTACCCATTACCCCAGTGTCTCACATAAAAAAAACAAGCATTTTGCTCTAAATATTTCCAATTTATGTTTCCTTATATCACAATAGCTCTCATACAAGGGTCAGAACTTCTATAATCTAATCTGCTGATTACCAGACTCTTCTTGGTAAGTCAAGATAAAGTCCACTTTCCAAAAATTAAACAGAAAACAGTTAAAAGATCAAAGTCAAGTCAGTTCTCTAATTTATATTTTATCACCAGGAAAAAATATAACTTATCATTTTTAAACAAAAAAATATCACAATCAGCAGGTAAGAAAATGGAATATAGACTGTTACAAATATTAAAACATATGGGAAAACCTGACAGATTTAAGATCACTCTGTCTACCAGAAGACAAATTTTTTTTAAAAAGTTTCTATAATAAATATATTCTAAGACTAGTAACTGTGATGAGCTCTAAGAGTGAGATGAATAAACAGTTCTAAAATAAAATGTGTAGAAACGGCCTGTAATGTTTAAGTATGTACTTTTCACCATCCTAGATTTCACTATAATGTCTTTGAAGCCCACCACCTAAAACTATTCATCTGAAAGGTTCTGCCAATGTGTAAACCAGCTATCGACAAAATGTGTAGAAACGGCCTGTAATGTTTAAGTATGTACTTTTCACCATCCTAGATTTCACTATAATGTCTTTCAAGCCCACCACCTAAAACTATTCATCTGAAAGGTTCTGCCAATGTGTAAACCAGCTATCGACAATTCAATTATTTAGGCAACAACCATGAGATCTGCATATTAATACATATACTTTCCAAGATTCACTGAACCAAAATGAAGGGTTCACTTAGCATGTACAGATAACTGAAATTAAAAGCAAGACAACAAAAATTTCCACTGCATAATTCTACCAACAATTTTGGGAGACAATGAAAAACATAATTGCTGGAATTAACTCCAAAGCAGCATATCCACAGCCATTTACACAAGCTCCACTTCCATATTCACTAACATCAAGACTAGACAACAAGGTTTAAGCCTTAATGTGTCATTTGACATTTCAGTCTCCTCTTAAGCACATGTTACAAAAACATATCATATTTTCCTTCAAAATCCCATTTGTTCCTTCTCCTCCATTCTCATCCTATGTTTCCAACCGTGCCTTCCAGCTGAGGAAAGGGGAATAGGACTGAGAGACAAAAGTAAAAGGTAGAGAGAGGTCGGACTCTTCACCTGAATGCCCTATCCCGGATATTCTAATGGCTGGCCCCCTGTCATTCAGGTCTCAGCTCAAACACACATTTGGTCCTGCCCTGACCCCAATCTAATTTAACTTTAAATTCCCACTCTCAACCAATTAACAAATACAGAACTGTTTTATTTTATTCACAGTACTTGATACTATGTGAAACAATCCTATTCTTTGATTGATTTACTTTTTTGTGTATGTCTCTCCCCTCCCTAGAATGTATGGTCTACAAAGCAAGGATCTTGTCTTGTAGATAGCAACCAGAACAATGGAAGGCAAATACCAAGCCCTCAGAAAATACATGTTCAATGAATTACTGAATAAATAAATGGATAACATTCCAGACAGTAGGGAGAGCAAAAGCTAATATTAGAACACAAACTTGGAAAAACAGCCTGGAGCCAGTTCATAAAAGACATGAATATCAGGAAGTAAAAGTAATCACTAACATTTATTGAGGTCATATCATGTGTTAGACATAGCCCTAAGCATTTTACATGACAGACTACTATAAGGTAGATACATTTGTGGTACTACTATATATAATCTTCATTTTATACATAAGAAAACTGCAGCTTACAGAGTTTAGTTAAAGAGCTTGCCAAAGGTCAACCTACTAGTAAGTGACAGAGCTGGCACAGAAACCCAGGAGTTCTCCCACTCTTATTCAGTAAGTATTGGCCAACTGTGTACTGCATGTCACGCACTACACAAGGCACTGGGGACAGAAAGATGAAAAACAAAAATGTGGTCTCTGCTCACAAAGAACTTACATATATATAAACAAATATAATATTTCAACAGTGACATGTACTCTCTAAGTAGAAAAAGCTTAATTGTCATATCTTTACCATTTATATGTAACTTCCTATATGGATCTTGCTCCAAAGCAGTTTTCTTTTTTGGCCGGTGGTACCATGGTTTTCCCAGTAACCCCACTAAAACATTAGAACCACTATTGCATCCTTCCATTTTTGCCTCCTTTAATCAGGTGGTTTTCATGTCCTCCTAAAGTATTTATCATCTCCTCCCATTACTTCCTTCTAATTCCAATGCCTCTGGTTTACCCTCTGCTTGGATCATGTGCAACACTCTTATCATTAGTCTCTATTTCCAGTTTCTGGCATCTCTGATCCTTCTAAAACTTTTGCTTTCACGATGTCAGTTCTCTATTCAGAATTCTACGGTAGCTCCCTTACACCTACAAAATAAGTATAAACTTCCTAGCACAGTGGTTTGTTAACTCTAAGAAACAGCTGCTAGATCTGCAGATTAGGTCTGTATTCACTAATCCATTCCAAAGATCTGTATGTATATTCTTGAGCCAGTACACTGTTTCAATGTGGATACATGTTTTATATCTGATAGGACAAGCCACTTTTCTCTTTCCCTCACAAAATAAAATTTAAACTAACTTACATTAATTTTATCTTTCTCATTCTGGATTTCTACTCTTGATAGTTTAAGCCTGATAGACAAGCTTTTAAAATAAAGCCATATTTTAAAATGTAAAAAGTGTTATTTTTTACTTTGATATAGATACCATTCTTATTTTAAAAGTCACTGAAGTATTTTACAATCAAATTTATTAACCACATGTTTGTTTCTAAATAAAGACATATGTTCTAGGAAATCATAAAATAGCCTCCAATAATTTCTTAAAATAGTTTATGCTCTAACATAGAGGCAATACCTGATTGTCCTACTCAGGTATAATGCAGTAGTATATGTTCTTATAACTTATTCTACCAATCAAGAAGTTAATAAGTGTCCTATGCTTTTCTGCAGAATTAGCAGTAATACAATTAATAATAGTAATTGACAGGAACTAATAACCTAAGGTAACTTTTAAGCCTCTAAAGAATCAGGCATTTCAGTCTATCCTAGAAAATTCCATTACAAGAATTGTTCTCATGCTAATACCTACCAGATTTCAAGAGTTATTTCTTCTCAAGCTAATGCCTGAAGTACTCTACCTCATGACCCAGTAGGGTCTAGACAGATATGTGGAGTAAGTGGGAAAAGTGGGACAGGAGAGTAATTATATTTCTTTAAAATCGGAATCCCTAAGTCACCTATGCTAACAAATATCCATCTTATAAATCAATCAGAGTAAAGAGAAGACTAGAAATTATTTCATAAAAGTAATTTTAAGAAATACTTTAGGAACAAAACTGATTTTTTTCCCCCTTTACATTTCATTACACATATTTCCTTATAGATTATGGCCAGAAACAAGGGATAGCATGGCTAACTGGCCTACCAAGCATGTAAAATACTATTAAGCAGTTTTCGTCTAATTACTGTCAACTATCTTCTAAATAAAGACATATGTTCTAGGAAATCATAAAATAAAATAGCCTCCAATAATTTCTTAAAATAGTTTATGCTCTAACACAGAGGCAATACCTGATTGTCCTACTCAGGTATAATGCAGTAGTATATGTTCTTATAACTTATTCTACCAATCAAGAAGTTAATAAGTGTCCTATGCTTTTCTGCAGAATTAGCAGTAATACAATTAATAATAGTAATTGACAGGAACTAATAACCTAAGGTAACTTTTAAGCCTCTAAAGAATCAGGCATTTCAGTCTATCCTAGAAAATTCCATTACAAGAATTGTTCTCATGCTAATACCTACCAGATTTCAAGAGTTATTTCTTCTCAAGCTAATGCCTGAAGTACTCTACCTCATGACCCAGTAGGGTCTAGACAGATATGTGGAGTAAGTGGGAAAAGTGGGACAGGAGAGTAATTATATTTCTTTAAAATCGGAATCCCTAAGTCACCTATGCTAACAAATATCCATCTTATAAATCAATCAGAGTAAAGAGAAGACTAGAAATTATTTCATAAAAGTAATTTTAAGAAATACTTTAGGAACAAAACTGATTTTTTTCCCCCTTTACATTTCATTACACATATTTCCTTATAGATTATGGCCAGAAACAAGGGATAGCATGGCTAACTGGCCTACCAAGCATGTAAAATACTATTAAGCAGTTTTCGTCTAATTACTGTCAACTATGCTCTCTATGAAAAGATCTCACCACTTATTCTATCAACATAATTAAATAAATAATGATCAGTCACATGATGCCAACACTACAGAGGCCACACAAAACACTCTGTAAACTGAATCCCATGAGCTTTCAGTTCTACGTCTTTGCTAAGGACAGTGGAAAGTTACTAAATAATTTTAGAAAGTGATCAAATTTGTACTTTAGAAAAGATAACACAAGAAGTTTACTAGATAGAAAGAGTTAGAAATCAAAGGCTGCAAGACCAGTTATAAGAACTTTATCAATAATAGTCGAAGTAAGAAAAATTGAAAGGCTTGAACTATAGTAGAAGTGTAAAGGAAAGGGTGAATTTAAGAGCTGTTTGGAGGATCTGACCAATAAATGGTCAGGTAGAGAGGATAAACCTAAGAGAAGGATAACTGAGACTTCTGGCTTTTGTGTCTGGGTGTAAGAGTACTACCATGAACTAAAATTGGTTAATATTGGGAGCAAGTACATGCATAAGAGATAACAAGCTCAGTTTTTAACATCTACAGTAGTACAATGTATCTATTAAACATCTTGAAGGTACAGACGGCTTGATAAAAAAACTCCTGAGGGCCGGCCCGGTGGTGCACTGGATAGTGCGCCGCTTGGGAAGCGCGGCGGCACTCCCG